CACAGGCACCACGTGGCTCCCTGCTGGGATCCGGCCTGTGACATTTTTAACACACACACATCTGTCACTGTGCCTCTCAGGAAGGGAGGGGGGAACGAGAATGAGGGAATAACATACATCAGGAGGGTTAATTCCTCCGCCAAGATGGAGGTTGAAGCCAAAATGGTTGAACCGTGTACATCTCTGATGCGCACGTTTGCGACACACATAACTACTTATTTTATTTGTACATTTACATATAGGTGGTGGACTTCCATCAGGATCTATATTTATTGATTTATGAGTTGATATTTTTCTGTATTGGTGTGTCACTGTGGAAGAGTGGTGTCACCTTCTGAATTTTTTAAAATTGTATGTGTATATATGATGTTGGGACACATATCACATTTCTTGGAATGTAAGGAATAATAGTATAATCCTTTGTATTGGCATACAAATAACCAACACACATCGAATTTAGCACAGCGCAACATTTGTATTCCTTTTATTTTGCTTCAGCTCTGGTATTGTGTGTGGTATGTGAAGACAGCTATGGGAGTTCGGATTTAGATTTTTGTTAGATGCTGAGCACCAAGTGTAGTTTTTCTACCATTTAGTTAATATAGCTAAAAAGTGCTAAGTCCCTGGGCATGCTCAATGCACATGAAAGTACATATATACTGCAGAGAATATATGTTCCAAAAAAATTAACAGTACTAGCATTATTTAAAAAAACGAGAAAAGATAAATATTGTACAAGCAAAAAAACACAGCTAAATAAAATTACAAAGGAAATAAAACAAGTTTTTATATTATATGTGTTGATGTTTCTGTGCATAGTAACAGTTCTATAGTGATATGTATTGATGTATACTGTTAAATATATACAGTATATAAATGTTGACCTGTTTATTAATCACGTTTTGGCAAGAACAGGTTCACTCTTTTGAATGACATTTCCAGGCTTGCGAACAAAGGCATTTACTATAGCATATTCCAAAAAACAACAGAGTGAAGGCGCTTTTTAGGTTACCTGGTCTGGGCATGCTCAGGTGAAGTCAATGCCTGTTTGGATATTTTGAAATATATCACTTTATACAGACACATTTAGAATTCTTTTAAAGCAGTTATTCTTTACAATGTTCATCAGATGTATAGGAATTCTAAATTGCTTGAGATCATGTCATCAAAAAGAGTTTTCTCTACTGTTCACCTGCTTCTAAGAGGTGAACTCATTTAGATGGTCGCTTAGTTTTGTGCCCATTAGTAAATTTGCATTGGTGTCTATTTGTTGACGCGTGTTTTAGTAAATGTTTTCTCCATCTAAAAGTAGACAGCCGTGCAAGGGACTGTGCCCATTTGCCGACAAGGTGCTTTACTAAATCAACCCCTAAGTGTTGAAGCAAATATGCGGTAAATGTAAAAATAAGCATTTTCATCTAGAAGTATGGGGCAGCACAGTGGCTAAATGGTTAGCACGTCCGCCTGGCAGTACTAGGGTTGTTGGTTCAAATTCCAACAATGGCACCACCTGCCTGGAGTTTGCATGTTCTCCCTGTGACTGCTTGGGTTTCCTCTGGGTACTCTGGTTTCCTCCCACACTCCAAAGACATGCTGGGAGGTTAATTAGATCCTGTCTAAATTGGCCCTAGTATGTGTATGTATGAATGAAATTTAGGGACCTTAGATTGTACACCCTTGAGGGTTAGGGACTGATGTGAATGTAAAATATGTATGTAAAACACTACATAAGTTGATATATAAGTACCTGAAATAAATAGAAGTAGGCTTGTAAAAGATATTTAAGGAGGAGGGTAATTCAGTTATAGAATTTGGGGGTACTTTTTGATTATAAACCAGACAGCGTACTCTCTTGTATTAAAAAAAGCACAAATGCCAGCAAGAAATAGATGTAAAATACTCATTTATAAATCATTAGTACAGATTTTCTTACATTTGAAGTTTTGAGTGGTTGTTTTAAACAAACAAAATCCTGGCACAGGACAGAGGGGAGGGATGGGCAACTAAACTGTGGTGGCAAGATGCACGCTTAAAACTTTATAATGATTATAAGATGGCTTCTAGAAACCAACATTTGCTTTTACTTCTCTTTATGTTCTTTTTATGTTTAATGCACATATGCAATTGAGTGTTGAAACCTGTGGCCACAAGGATTAAAACCAAGTCTTGGGACATTGAATTTTAAAAGTATAAATTAGGAGTTTCAAAAATAGTGAAAGTCCAGAAGTCTCCTAATGTTATCATTAGAAATGAGCGAATCGAACCTGGCGAAGTGGAATTCGTTTCGAATATTAGGAAAAATTTGATTCGCGCCGAATCCGAATATTAGCAAACTTCGGATGCGCGAATCGAATTTTCCCCGATCGGCCGATTTTCATCCCTTCTACAGCCGGCAAAAAGTGTCCCTGCAGAGAGCTCCGCTATTTCTGACAGTTCTCTGACAGTTCCTTCACATTTACAGCAGTTGAAACATTGTATCTATTTGTTTCCATTTAGGATACAGATGTTTTTATTCGGAAATAAATAGATAAAATGTTTCAACCACTGTAAATGTGAAGGAACTGTCAGAGAACTGTCAGAAATAGCGGAGCTCTCTGCAGATACACTTTTTGCTGCACTGGAATTCTTCTTCATCCTCATCCTACTTCTTCTTCTTCTTCTTCATCCTCATCCTACTTATTCTTCTTCTTCATCCTCATCCTTCTTCTTCTTCTTCTTCTTCATCCTCATCCTACTTCCTCTTCTTCTTCTTCTTCATCCTCATCCTACTTCTTCTTCTTCTTCTTCTTCATCCTCATCCTACTTCTTCTTCTTCTTCTTCATCCTCATCCTTCTTCTTCTTCTTCATCCTCATCCTACTTCTTCTTCTTCTTCATCCTCATCCTCATCCTACTTCTTCTTCATCATCCATCCTCATCCCTTCTTCTTCTTCTTCTTCATCCTCATCCTACTTCTTCTTCTTCTTCTTCATCCTCATCCTCTTCTTCTTCTTCTTCTTCTTCTTCTTCTTCATCCTCATCCTACTTCTTCTTCTTCTTTCTTCATCATCCTTCTTCTTCTTCTTCTTCTTCTTCTTCTTCTTCTTCTTCATCCTCATCCTACTTCTTCTTCTTCTTCTTCATCCTCATCCTACTTCTTCTTCTTCTTCATCCTCATTCTACTTCTTCTTCTTCATCCTCATCCTACTTCTTCTTCTTCTTCATCATCCTCATCCTACTTCTTCTTCTTCTTCTTTCATCCTCATCCTACTTCTTCTTCTTCTTCTTCTTCCTCATCCTACTTCTTCTTCTTCTTCTTCTTCCTCATCCTACTTCTTCTTCTTCTTCATCCTCATCCTACTTCTTCTTCTTCTTCTTCATCCTCATCCTACTTCTTCTTCTTCTTCTTCTTCATCCTCATCCTACTTCTTCTTCTTCTTCTTCTTCCTCATCCCTACTTCTTCTTCTTCTTCTTCATCCTCATCCTACTTCTTCTTCTTCTTCTTCTTCATCCTCATCCACTCATCCTTCTTCTTCTTCTTCTTCTTCTTCCTCATCCTACTTCTTCTTCTTCTTCTTCTTCCTCATCCTACTTCTTCTTCTTCCTCATCCTACTTCTTCTTCTTCTTCATCCTCATCCTACTTCTTCTTCTTCTTCATCCTCATCCTACTTCTTCTTCTTCTTCTTCATCCTCATCCTACTTCTTCTTCTTCTTCTTCTTCTTCATCCTCATCCTACTTCTTCTTCTTCTTCTTCTTCTTCATCCTCATCCTACTTCTTCTTCTTCTTTATCCTCATCCTACTTCTTCTTCTTCTTCATCCTCATCCTCATCTTCTTCTTCTTCTTCTTGCCATGGGCCCCTGTACCGCCTCCTCATGCTGCTGCCAGGTCCAGAGTGTGTCATGGGTCCCTGTACGGCCTCCCATTGCTGCTGTCTCCATCGCCACACTCTGCCATGTGCCACTTTCAGGTCTCCTCACACTGCTGGTGGGTTCCATTTTGTCATAGGGTGCTGTATGGCCTCCCATTGCTGCTGCCTCCACCGCCACACTGTGGCTCCACACTCTGGTTTTGGCCCCGTGACTGCCCAAATGAGTGAAGTGTGCGGTGATTCTAAGATCGACGGCACTCATCTGCATGTCATACTGACTGACAGTATTATTTCTCTTCCCCAGCAGACTCCAAGGGCATTTAAATTAAAGGTACAGTGTTCTGCACTAATATAAAGGCTCTCTGAAGCCTAGAAACCCTTTTTATAAGTTAAATTCGCAGCGAATAAATTTGCATCGAATCAAATTTATTCCACAAATTCGGCGAATCAGCCGAATCGAATTTTTGAATAATTCGCTCATCTCTAGTTATCATCAAACATCACTAACATCTGAATAATGATTAAAGACTGTATAACTTGAATCTTTTCTGTTTTAAATACTCATGTCAATCATCTTGTATATTGAGACAGCATACACTCAGTGTCTGTGTCTGATTTCCTATGTACAGTATATGTCTTTAACCACTTCAAGTCTGGACACTTTTCATCCCCTTCCTGTCCAGGCCAATTTTCAGCTTTCAGCGCTATCACACTTTGAATGACAATTGTGCGGTCATGCAACACTGTACCCATGTGAATTTTAGCATTTTTTGAGACAGATAAAGATTTATTTTGGTGGTATTTATTCACCACTGGGATTTTGTTTTTTTTTGCTATATAAATGAAAAAGTCCAAAAAATTTTGAAAAAAAAACTGTTTTTCTTATAAAATTTTGCAAATAAATAATATTTCATCATAAATGTTGACCAATATTTATTCAGTTATCTTTTCAGTAAAAGAAAATAACCAATAACCAAATAAAATTTTCTTTTTACATTTTTATTTAATTTATATATATATATATATATATATATTTTTTTTTTTTTACATACTGTCACCCTAGCAGTACAGTGTCACTATAGTGACACTGTACTACTTGTGGGGGGGTGATGAAGATTTTTTTTTTTTTTAAACCCATAAAGGCTGTAAAAGCAATCATTTCTCCTTCTCTCTGGCTGCATTCTTGCAGCCATTGAGAAATACTGTGTGAGCTGTGATTGGTCACAGCTTGTCACATGGTACAAGGCTGTTGTGAATAGATTGTACCATGTGACCTCTGTGATCATTCACAGATTTCACAAGTTGTAAGCAATGATGTCAGGAAGTGACATCTTGCTTACTACTCTGCATGTGATCACTGATTGGCCAATCAGTAATTACATGATAAGGACCTCGCACAGAGGTCCCATACGACGATCGGTGTTCCACTGTGTCCAGAGGACAGAGCTGGCACCAGATCGCGGTGCTGAGCACTCCCAGGGAATGCGCATTTTCCAAAATGGCGGGCACGGTTTATGAACAGCAACCCACCCCTGGACTGCCACCGCCCAGCCGTTTTATATACAGCGGCCAGACGGAGAGTGGTTAATATAGGCCTTTACTGACTAACTGAGGACAGGTAGCTGTACCTCTAAACAAATCCACAACATAAAGAGTATACAGGACCTCTGTGAAAATATATTTATTTTCAAGATCAAGACAAAAACACAAAAATTATTGTATGGGGTTGAAAAAAAAGAGATTTTAACTCTTTAGCTGTGAAAACATTGCTTCATTATAGGAGCTGTAAATATGTAAAATAGCCATTGATTTTTCTAGCACGTAAGCATTATTGTTTAAAAATAGGGTTGGGTGCTTTTTCAAAAGAAAACAATAAAAAAGGTTGGTTTTAGTAATAAAAATGATTGTAAATAATGTTGGTCCCACTTGCTTTACCCTTCATTTACTACTGCCAAATGTCTACCTGAAAACATGGAGCTTGCTATGCCATCTGGAAATTAAGATCAGCCAACATCCCAAACAGCTCTTTTTTGCATGAAGATGGTCTTGCACAAATTAGGACAAGGACAAATAACAACTATATTTGGGATTATGTAATTGAAACAATGAAGTTTCATGCACATTCTTACCACCTATCATGCTCAAGGACAATCAGCATCTGCTCTGAGACAGCCCATGGTCATTGGGCTAAGGTGACTGAGTTACCCATGTGGCTATAAATTCTGGAGGATTTCTGACACTCATGAGAACTGAAAAAGCTGCTTGGATACATAATAAAACATTTTTAACATCACAGAATAAGTCTGGTTGAATGTGACTAACTAAGCAAACCAAATCACATAAAATAACTGTCATGGCTAAAACAGAGTTTGGAGCAGGCATAATTCAGCTGAGGTTAAACAAGGTTTGCAACAGGGTAGAACCAAACACATGCAGTAACACAGAATCCCTTCCATTAGCAAAATGGACAGCGTGTCTTCAGGATACAGCGCATTCTGAAAAATGTTGGCGAGATATACAAAATACTAATAAACTGATGCCAAAGGACAGTGGCAAATGCTATAAAATAGGCAAGATAGCCCTGGAAGCACTCTGAACTGCACCAAAAACTAAGAAAGCACAAACCTTTTGCTTAAGAGATATCTGCATTAATCAAATCATCATGATACTGGTAAATTTATGTTCACTTATCTCATATTAATAAAAATAAAAAGTTGTCAACTAAATCACCCATTATTTTTTGTACCAGTTAATGTTAACAATGCTATTTATATAATTAATTAACATATTATGTATGTGTTTATTTTGTTGTATTGTGTATTGTAATTGTTAATGATTTTTAAAATATTAATAAAGTTAATAAATTTGAAATGTTAAGAAAACCACAATTTAATGATTACACATTAACAAAACTTCATATTATTTAACAATTTTCTTGTGTGAAGGTTTATGTGAAACATCACATCTAGAAAGCATTTTTCTTTTTAGCCCAGCAGAGATAGCATGAGCTATATATATATTGTAGGCCTTTAGAATATTTTACATTGAATGCGTATGTTATTTTCACTAAACTAATGACATTCAAGAACTTCGAAGAGATGCCTCAGAGATCATTCACTATATAAGCTTTTTCATTCATTTTGGAGATTTTTGTCCTCTGCATAAGGGCTGTGAGGTCTGAGCTCAGCAGAATAGGTTCTCGTTTGTACAATCAATTCAACATTTAACATCTTTTAAACTCTGTACACAAATTTTCTAGGAACACTGAAAGCTTTGTGGTGCATATTTATATAGATTATGTTTTACAGATTAATTCAAAAAATGTTAGAAACTAGAAATAAAATAACCCCAATAATTTGGTGCTAACATTATGTACTCTTACAAATGTGCCATATTCATATGATTTATGTAAACTGACAGAGAATATATTTCTTTGAATATAAAGTCATTTCTGAGATTAATGAGCAGTCAACATCCATTCCTAAAACAGAGAACTAATATATTAGATCAGATTCTCACAACAATATTGCAACTTATGTCCACTCTCTAAGACAGTGTTTAAACATTCTGCAATAGTGCATGTTTTCATGTTTATATCATTGTTTTCGGAATAAGATTATGCCCTAGAAATAAAAGTTAACCACACTGTTTCATTTTGAAAGCAATAGTCACTTAAATTGGTAATTTAACTATATTAAATCGTTTCGAATACTAAGTCCTGTTGTCATGGTGACTAAATATATCACATGGGTCTAGTGTTTCATAAGAAAGGCACATACAATCTGACCTTCTGATTTGTTTAACCTTAAATATAATTGCAGATATTTAACACGATACTAAAAAGCTAGCGGCTACTTTGCTTTCAGACAAATTAATATTAATCAGTGTCAATTCTAAGTGAACATGTTTGGAGAAATACTGTCACAGGGCCTAGATGTCAGTTCTGAGATTAAATAAACATTCCACTGAGCTATGTGAAACAAGAATAATGGAATGTAATGTATCTACAGAACGACATTTGCTGTTTGCAATCCTCACTGGAGCTATGTCAAGGAAAAGAAATGAAATGTTTCTTTTCTGAAAGCTCTTCTTAGCAGACACGATACACTATGTAACATTACTTATTTCTTACATAAAATATGTTGGTTTATTAGCGTGTCTAATTGTGATCTGTAACCACACCTCTAGCCATTCTACATCAACCATAGCAGCATGCCAGTTTTGCAACAGTACTTCGAATTTCGGATCTTAAAAACAACTACATATGGAAAAGTTATTTCATATTTTTGATGGATGTTTTGCTATACCCCAAATAGGGTAAACAATAACAACAATGTCAGAAGGGAAGGTATAGGTTTTTATTGTACTATATATGTTCTTTAATAAACAGACTTTATTATTTTAGTGGGTAATCACAAACACAAGATTCCTTTAAACTTTAGAGACATACAATGGCAAAGATAAATTGGACTTTAAAGGTGCCAAAAGATAACCAAATACTGAATACATTTAAAAGTATATTTTATTCTTTACATTGTTTAAAAAAACAGGATAATAATTAAAATAGGATGCAACATAATTTCATATGTAGAAATATTTGGACATACATCTCTACTTCTGATAGCCAGCCCTTAAAAGGACAAGTTCACCTTTGGGAACATGTTACATGTTTCACCTGTTTTTAGGTGGAACATGTAACATATTCCCATAGCCGCAGCTGCCGCCCATTCGCCGTTCCCCCACCCCTTTCCTCTGACAGATAGTACGGGGAGAAGTCTCCTTGTACTATCTGTCAGATTTGAAAACAGCTCGGCCATGTGGGACTCCGCCCACACAGCTGCGTCATTCACTCACAAACTTCCGTGAATGAATAAACTGCAAGTCCTGACAGCCTTAGCGGCTGTGAGCTTGTAGTTTTCAATGCATTACCACAGCACCGCGGAGCTCCGTGGTAGTTCATTGAAGCTTCCTGTCAGAATATCTGCTTGGTCGTACATCCCGTACGGCAAGCAGATATTCTGACAGGTCTGCAGGAGACCTGCATGACATCAACGATTTACTGATCACTGATGCAATGCTTTCCAGGCTCCTGTAATCAAAAATAATAAATGCACATTTTTTACCTGCAAAAAAATGTGCATTTATTATTTGTGTCTAAAACGTGAACTTATCCTTTAATGCTCTCTGCTTCATCAGTGTATACACGTATACCTAATATAATTTTATTACAGCATCTCTATGTCCAATGTGTCCAATTCACAAACACATACAACCAATTCAAGCAGCAGGCATTGTGTTGATGGGGAAAGCTAGAAGAGTTGACTGGGAATGCCTTGTGACATTGGGTTTGTTTTTTTCTATTGTATCATAACAGCTCTCCCATTTTATGGTGGATGGTAGTGAATACAGAAGCAAGAGGGCAGGGTTTTATATGCTTCTCTTTAGGATCCATGAATTTATATGTGCAAACAGGTAGTGCTTTATATACCCCCTTGTACTCCTATGAAACTTTTTATTTTGTACACATACTAAAACATTATCAAACGGTGCCTTTTACAACATTTTCTTTTCACAGGTAATGATATGTGCATGTTTCCATATTTGTTGCCAGTGGCTACTGACTGATGGCAGTAGGATACCATCATTTACCTCTCCTACCATGTTAGTGGAATAAAGTGGTTTGACATTGCAAGCTGTCACATTCACCTGTTCCATACTCCAATGGTCTTTCTCTGTGTGTGTGGCCACCTGCTTCCACAAGCACTACAGTCAATAACAAAGGGGGCACTATCCTAAAGGGCTAGCATGTGAGTTTGGTAATTGAACAATGCATCCACACACTTGTAGCCTGACCTCCTGTGTTTCCAGTAACTTCTCAAGTGTCCCTGTGTGGCTTCTAGTGTGATCTCTGTATCTCCAGCTACTGTGTGCCTCTTGCAATCCACAATGTTCTCTGCATTCCTCCAGCTTGTAGTCAGTTCTTACTGTATGTATACCTGTGCTCTCCAGTGTGAAAATCACTCCAATGTGATCCAGCCTGTCGACTGCTTCCAGTAACTCAATGGGTCTACTGGGAGAAGTGTAGATTTGTCCCAATTAATGGTGAGACCTAAGAAGGACCCAAAATGTGAAATTAGAGATATCACAGTGGCCAAAGAGACCTGTATATCTCCTAGCAACAGCAATTTGTCATCAATTATAAAGCTAGTTTGTCCTCATGTAGGCTAATACAGAATCCTACAATCTCTTCTGTGGATTTAATAGCAATTTTTAATGGTTCAAACACCAGAGTGAAGAGATGGGGGGGGGGGGAGACATCCCTCTCTTATCCCTCATGCCCAGAGAAAAATGTTTCAGCAGATCATTGTTTGTCCTGATATAAGCCCTCAAGGAGACATACCCATGAACCCATTTTAGTAAATTTGGCCCAAGCTTAAATACTGATAATACCCCCCAAAGATATTTCCACTCAACACTGTCAAAAAATCTTTGGCAGTGTCAAAGTAGAGGACAGCTCG